AGAGGCTGTAATTTCTTCTTAACAAACCCCATAGATTATACCGTCCTGCATGCTCCTCGCAAGGATCTGCACGCTGCTTTGGAGATCACTGCTCACGCCACGTTTCCTACGCTCTCCCAGAGCTTCTGCAAGTCAGCACCCCACCCTGAGCCCGGATATTTCCCCAGCACATTTCCAGTTAGGCACCAGTGCCTGTTTCCTCAGCACACACCCAGGGTCTGCCTGGACTCAGGGAACTCCACTGCATTTGTCTCTGATTATGCCTCCAGCTCACTCCCTAAATTTCCACCTTTTCCTCTGACATCCCGCCGTCTCATTTTCAGGCACCCTTTCCTTCGTCCTCCAGAGATTCTGCGGTGAACCAAGTGGACACGCCCTCTACTTCACCTTCACAACAGGCAGGAAAAAACCTTTGAAAATTACCACGACCAGAATCTCACTTCTTCTTTTCTTGCCCGTAGGAAGATACCTGTTACCTCTTTACTAATGGTTCTGCTGGTGTTCTATTAGCATTTTTGGTTTTTTTGCTATGAACTACGACACACACACAGAAAACTGCAAGGAACCAACAGTACAGTTCAAAAAATTTTCATCTAGTGAGTAACCACATAACCACCACCCAGGTCAAGAGACAGAACCAGCAACGCAACCTAAAAAGCACCCTCCCAACCAGGATCCTATCCCTCTCCCACCATAAAAGCCATTATCGTAAGTTTTATTATTTTCTTTAATTTTACCACAAAGCAGGCGTCCCTACACAGTTTTAGTTTTGCCTGTGTTTTTTCAGTCTTCATATATATGAAACTACATAATATGAAGGTATTCTTTGGTGTCTGGGTTCTTACATTCAAGCTCATGTTTCTGTGATTTATCCTTGTTATTTGCAGCTGCAGTTGATTAATTTTTATGGCTGAGCAGAACTCACATCGCTGTATAAATATGCCATAATTTATTTATCCAGTCTCCTATGGATGGACATTTAGGTCTATTTTTGGCTATCGTAAATTATGCTGCTATGAATTTTCTTATCTCCGATGCACAGAGTTTACCATTTTTGGCAGAATCAAGATACTTGATTACGCCAACCTCTCTTCCAAAGGGAGGGTGTCACTGGCCGTCTGAGATTTCCCCCTGTTCCGTGTTCTCACCAACATTAACCGTCGTGGTTACAATCTGGACCTCCCCACCACGAAAGAGGCTGAGCACCTTTTCACATGCTTACTGGCCTTCTGAATACCCTCTTCTGTGAAATGCCTGTAAATCAAGTTTCTAACTTGTTTTTAAAACCGATTATACAGTGTCCTTTACACATTCGAGATGTAAGTTCTTGGCTGGTTTTTGTAGTAACATCTTCTCCCAGTCTGACTTCGCTTTTTTTTTTAACTGTCTTAATAGTGTTTTTTTTTTTCATTTGAGGAACAGAAACTCTCCATTTTAATGTAGCCAAATTTATTAATTCTTAAAGCAATGATTGGTTTTTGCGTCCTGCTAAAGGCGTCTTTCCCGAGTACATGGTTAAGGTTATGTTGTCATTAAGACGTTTGACTGCCTGGCCTTTGACATTTAAATCTTCAGTCTCCCCAGAAATCATTTCTATTTTTGGTGTGAGGTGAGGGTCAGATTTTCTTCTTTTTTCCCACATGGAAAGCCATTGTTCTGATATTTACTGAGAAGACCTCCTCTCTCAACCAGGGCCAGATTCGTCATACACCCTAAGTGTGTGAGGGCCTGTTTCTGGGCTCTCTGTCCCACTCCACTGGTCTAATAACCCATCTTTGCACCAATACCATACTGACTTCATTACTTTACATGACGCTTTAATATACTGTGATATTCCGTTGAGCAAATCTACCAGTCTTCTTCTCCGGAGTGTCTTGCCAATTCTTGATGCTTTCCTGGGAAATTCCTTTTACCCTCTGTTTACTAAGAGTTTTGCTTTAAAACCATAAAAGACGAATTTTATCAAATGGTTTTCTATATCTAATTTTTTCTTGCATTCTATTACACTGATAGTTTTTCCAAACTGAAATCCTTTTTGTGTGTAGTTCTCTACTGAAAGTATCAATCTTATCTTTATCTCCTTAAACACAGTAAGTACAGTTTTTTTTGGTTTGTTTGCATCTGATAAACCAGGATTTGACGCCTCCGTGGATCTATTTCTACTTTCCCTTGTTTCTGCTCATTTCCCTCACATTGTCTTGCCTTGTGTCTGGACACTGTGCTATGAATACTGTTTTCTGAATCACTGCCATACACTGTGTTTCTTAGGTTGTTTGTAGAAATAATTTGAAGCCAAGGACGCTGCTATCCTCAGAGAATTGATAGTTGTTTCTGCCAGACACCTGGGAGCATTAATAACTCAAAATCATCTTAATCTGATTTCCATAACTGAACTAATTCAGGGATTGAGATAATTCAAAGGCAGACAGTATTTCCTTCAAGCATTAGTCATGCACAGACATCAGCACAGAGGTGCTTCTGCCCTTGACAGGCCCCAGACTCCAACGTCTGCCTTCACAGTTCTCCTTCTAGAATCAGCAAACATTCTCACGGAAAAATGGCCCCTTCTGCCAGGCTCACCTCTCTGGTTTTCAGTATCCCCCTGATTCCTGCTCAGCGAGCTTTCACGTCTTATTAGTTGTTCCGCACCTCTGCATTGCTAGAAAGAGAACTCCTGCACCTACTCCTCAACCTTTTGTGACATGTCACAGTTGCCTGGGTCATTTGTGAGTATAGAAGACTGCAGTCAACATATTCTTTCTCCTCATTTACCAATATTTAACATTATTCGTAACAATTTTTATCATCAATTACATAATAATTTCCCCCAGATTTTCAGGTAGGGAAGGTAAGCTTACAATTACATAGTTCACAATCTCATGTGAGTCCATCTCCCTTTTCATAGCCTAAGCATTTACTGGTTCTTTTTTTTTTTCTATGCAATAAAAATATGGAATGCTTCCCAAATCTGCGTGTCATCCTTGCCCAGGGGCCACGCTAACCTGCTCTGTATCCTTCCAATTTAAGGAAGCAATTCTGTGCTGCGGAAGTGACCACTTACTGGTTCTTGATCAAAACAAGGCTGCATTGAGGATTATCAATAAGATTTCTTTTTCCACCTTCCTTCCTCTGGTGCCGCCTCCTGTCAGCTTCCTGAGGGCTTTAATAACTATTTCTCTCTAGTGAACACAACTGTGATGCTCTTCTGCCTACTGCCTCACTCACATATCAGACAGCAATATTAACACTGCTTACACTGAATGTACTGATACATTTCCAAAGTTATTTACACTGTATAATACCCATATACTCTTTAAATTAAAAAAAAAAAGAACACTGGATTGAAAGTCAGAACTCTGCCTAAGCAGTACTAAGACCTGGGACAAGCCAATCAGCCTGATTCTTATGTGTTGAAACATAAAATGAGTACAACACCATATTGCCATGGATAGTGGATGTGTAAATGCATTCATTTAGCCATTCAACCAACAGTTACTGAGGGCCTACAAAGTCTAAAAAGTCATGGCCCCTACCTTCCTGCGTCATTATTCAACAAGCCTCTCAAACTTTAACTGTAACTCAAAGAACTTGGCAAAAATGCAAACCCCTCATTAATGAGACCCCTTATGGTACAGGACGCTCCAGTCAGCCTAGAGTTTGCCAGTACTCCCTTTTATTTAAAGCTTTCTTTCAACATTAAAAATATATAGTAGTCAAATGTGTCCTCATTTTTGTTTTTTCAAGTGCATGTATATAGTTTGAAAAGTCACCTGACCCACTCCTCCCCCTCCTAGTTCCTACTACTAGAGTAACATTTCGATTTTTGCCATTTATGTCTATATTTCTAAATAAAATGGTTACATTTCTATTTCCCCATTTTTTTTCTATTTTTAAAGACATTACTCTTTGAATTCCTATCAGTAATTTGCTTCAGGCAATTCAGCCAGTGAGTGGAATATTCAGGATTTGAATTTATGTCTGTTTCCAAACTCAGACTCTTAGCCACTGACCTCTCAGCTTTGAGAGTTAACATCTATTAACCGGGTATGATTCCACTTACTACATTTACTGAATACACAACGCATCAAACTACATATCACTAATGATAAAAATTAGCAAGACATGGTCCCTCCTCTCAAGGAAATCACAGTGCACTGGAAAGACACACAGATACATAAATAATCTGAATGTAAGTCTGGCTTTCATAATTGCTTAAAGAAAAGCAAAAAGGTCTGTGAAAGTTTGAGGGATGTGTGAGAAATAATGATCTAAGAAAGATTTGGGCGCAGACAGGACTTGAGCTGGGTCTTGGTTCGGGGCATCATACTTAATACTATGCCACCAGCCTGGAGGCTGGGGCTGACGGTGGTTTAAGCAAACACGAAACTCCGACGGCTGTTACTCTACCGCTTACTGACAAAATGGACACCTGTGCACGCTGCTGAGACAGAACAAAATCTTAGGAAATAAAAATTGTCCTTACCAGTGCAGCCAAATAACGAAGCACCTTGTTATCATTCATCAGCATTTTCATAACATCTTTTTTGGGAGCTTTTGGAATGAGTGCAAAGCAATTCTGAGCAGAGTCTTCAACTAGTCCGTAACCATTATAGGGAGGTAATTCCTGAAGAAACACAGGAAGCAAGAAATAAAGCAGCTGCTACTTGTGTCAAAAATCACACTCAAGGTAACTGTACATCTTTTAAAAATCTATAAAGCATTTATTTAAAAGCCATTTCTATGCATACAAATGTAATCAGAAAAAAATTACACAGCACACACTCTGTTCCTCTTTATAGATTTTACACCATTATCACTGCTCATAGAAGTGACTGGCAATGCCGCAACAGCAGCCCTCGGGGCTGGACTGAAACTACTGCTCACGCCCACTGACCGCTTACCGCCAACGCAAAGCCTGGCCCCAACCCCCGCCCCTGTGGTCCTCCCCGCACAGAGAAGCCCAGGCTCTGTGACTTCTTTCTTCTGGGGTGTGGGTCTCAGCCTGGCAGATCTGGAAACTGTCTTCTCAGTTCACCCCAAACTGCGTGCATCTGTGTGCTGGAGTCGGGGGTGCGTGGGGGTGTCAGGACTTGGTTCATGCTACTCTTTTCCTCTCCCCTCCACATTTCTAACATTTTTATTTCTTGATTTTTGCCTCAGAGAAATGACAGCCGCACTTCATCGAGAACTCAGACCCCCTGTCCGCACGGGACCCTTCCCCAGTGAAGCAGCAAACTCAAGGACTAAGTTCCAGGGGCAGAGGTTGTTGGTGAGCTGGTGTGAAAGTACAAGATGAGCTTCTCTCTCATCTGGGCTCCATGAAGGGCTGGCAGCATCACTACCGGACGCCAGGATCCGTTTGTCCAAAAACTTCACCCGTTCAGAGGCCGTCTTTCTCTCTCTCACGGACGTGAGGTGGACCGCGGCAGAGTTCCATTCCTCTGACTCCTTTTTGCTGTGATTTCTTGGCAAACTCCACGGGGGCCGTGCTTCACGTGTACATCCCTTCCCCAAATGTTTTACTATATTGTATTCAGGAATCTTAACAAATTAGCCTAGATGATCTCTGGTCCAGGGACTTAAAACCAGGGACTCTGTTCATCCAAGGTGCAGTCCTCTCAGAGCACAGATCCTTCACCCACTTCCTGGGCAAGTGATCTTCAGGACTGGAACATGACTAGTGGATCCAGTGGATGGACAGTGACCTAATTTGCTCCAAATGCAAAACCACTACTCAGTGAACATACAAGTTGCCACAGACAGAGGGCCCCTGGATGAGACATCACATGCTAGGCTCGGAGTTACCCTAGGTGTAGGCAGAAATGCTCATGGAGAAATCTAGCATCAACATACAATGAGAGCAGCCTGGTCGGGGACTAGGGGGGCAGCGGGCAGGGCGGAGGTTAAGGGGTTTTGAAACAGGGAGGTCAGCCTCTGAGCACCTTCCTCTCAAATTCCTCTTATGTTTCAACAGGCTTCTACCTATTTTTCCTGAACTGTTTCCCCTGCTTGGAATGAAGACCTTCTCTAAGCACAAGCCCCCAGGCCTGCGGTCCTGGCACCATGCTTCTCATACTCCAGGCTACTGCCTGGGTCCTGTCCTCAGCAGAGCCACTCCTCTGACTGTGGACAGAACCAGTCCTGGACACTCCTGTTCCTGCCACCTGCCCACCAGTCTCGGCCCAGGCTTTCTTAATTACACAACGCACATGGCGCCCGAGTCCCCTCATCCTTCAGATGCTGCGTCTACAGCCTGGCGCGGTGGCCAGTGAGCTCCCCGGGTCCTGCCTTCTTCCTTTCCCTCCCAGCACATCTCCAGCTGGAGCTGGCCTGAGACACAGCAGGCCCTGGGCTGGAGGATTCAGCAAGTCGATCCTTATAGTCAGAGCTGTCTTTTAAAAAGGGATCCTGTGATATTATTTGACACACATACTGGCAAAAGAAAGATGGGCTGCAGGTGTTGACACGCTATTTTAAATGGGACAACAGACAAAGAGGATGGATGAGCTGCTCGTGACCCCAACAGGTATAATAAGAACCGGTGCTTTTGGTCCATGACACTGTGTCCTAATACTTCAGATGCTTCTTGAATCTGCTGTATAATGGGTAACTTTTAAAATGTGCAATTGTCGTTTGAAACTCTAAAATATGTGTCTGAGCCACTCTGAGGGCTCAAGCTTATGAGATTACCATTTTGGTGAATTAGAGACACCGTGAACCTCCTGTCAGGTCAGAGTGGACTTCTGTGGTGCACAGAACTGAAGTTTGCTGTTCAGCGTGATTTTCAGGAGAGCGATGTCGCCATGAAAGGACACCATCCTCCAACCTCTTCAGTTAATCAGTTTTTGTTTTGCTCCTAATCAGTTTTTAAGTGAAAGGGTTTGATGAATGGGCAAGAAAAACAATGAAATGTCTTAGGGGTCTGGAATTTTAAAAGATGTCTTTTTTTTAAATCAAAAAATTTTTTAATTATAAAATACAAGGCTTGGTATAAAAAAGAGAAATGAAGAGTATCAGAAGAAAGGTCCCTGGGCACGTCCCACTCCCCCGGCTCCCCTATCCCGCTGCTGACAGTCTGGGGGCACACTCCCCCGGGTCTTCTCCGTATTTACAAGCAGATGTTGTATATGGTAAGTTACAAAAACAGTGCCATGTCATGTACACACAGACTCCTAAAAATGTTAGCAACATTTTTTTCATGTTAATATGCATAAACTCCCTCTTTTTTTAACTAGCCTTCTAATTATACAGATGGATATATTCTAATTTATTCTGCCAATGTCCTCACACTTTTCTATAATTAATGCTACAATACACATACTTGTACACAAATTTTTCACAATCCCCAAACCAGATTTTCTGGGTCAAGGGATATGTAACATTTTATTTTGAAAAAAATTAAAATGATGACAAACTGCCCTTCAGAAAAGCTTTTCTTATTGGCTCTCTTATTAACAGCACGTAAAAAATGCCTCTTTCATCACTCCAGGGCAAACGCTGGATACTGCGGGTCCTTTAAAATCAAACAGATCCCCAACCTCATTATTTTCATTTCTATTTCTTTGATTATCAGTTGAGGGTCTTTTCATACGTTCGTTAGCCATTTGTGTTTCTTTTGTGAACTGCTCTATTCCACCTGCTCTGTCCGGTTTTTACCGGGTACTCACAGAAGAGCCTTTCCTACCCGCTCCCCTTAAACTTCTACATCAGAAGATGAACGCTCTCGCTACCCTGAGAACTGGTGTCCAGTTACCTGCTTCACAGGAGGCGGTTCCTTCTTGCTCACGTCAATCCGCGGGAGATCGGAGATGCCAAACTTCTCTCTGTAATACTGGCGGGTGAATGGGTCGCAATCATAAATGAAGAAAGTTCTCCCGAGGATCGTGAGCGGCTTCCCGACAATGAAGTCTTTGGCCGTGAACCATTCCAACACCTCTTGATCAGAGATTTCCAGCACACACTGAGGGAAGCTCTCTAACGAGAGAGAGAGGAATGAGGATGGCAAGGAAGACTGACACACAGCAGCCGGGCATTCCTGAGAACCAGGGTGGGTGCAGGTGCAGCTCTGGCCAAGGGGCAGGGACTCCCCCACGCTCCCAACAGAGCACAAGGCTGTATATTTCCATCTGTGGACGGGACCCATAAATAACAGCCCAGATGGTTTTTGGGAAGTCTCTCTCCTGTATTCAGCTTCAACTGTCCTATCCCTAAGGTCCCTAATCTTAGTAGAATTAATGCTTAGAAGGGGTCACTATAAAAGAAAAGAATACATGTCCTTTCATAGAGACAGAGTATTGTATTGATGGCAGGGGAAGTGCCAAGTCATTCAGTTCAACTTCCTGCTCCTTTATTTATTCACACAACAAATCATGAGTGACCACATACATCATGTTCCAGGTGCGCTGCTGAATATAGAGATTATAACAATTAACAACATGGATACAGTTCCTGCCATGATGGAGAAAACTTTCTGTTTGGGGCAGCAGACCCTAAATACACAAATAACAGTTTCACTTCCACTGCGATCACTGCTATTCGGACAGTCGGATCTAGTCCTGTGGCAGGAGGTGGTGACGGTCAGTGTGATGGTGAAGGTGATCTGCTCGCCTGGGGAAACAACAGATTTTCACACGTAGAGCCGACCTTGCATTTTTAGAATAAATCCGATCTGTCACACTGTTTTATGAGAACTGGGTGTTGAGTTTTTAAGACTGACTCCCTGCAGCTTAGCCTCCCTAGAATCATAACGCCGCCAGTCAGTTCTGGCAAAGGTGCTGTACTTTCTCGCTGGAACTACAAAGCGTGGCCCCAGACTCCGAGGACACGGGGCATGACGGAGAGGCTGGTATTCTCCTATCAGATCATTGCTAAGATGGGAGCAGAAGGAAGGAGGCTCAGATTCTGCCACAGCAGATAGAAAGTCTTACATTCCAGCCCCTGATTTGCCAAAAGAAGGGCTGGTGTTTTACCAATCACGCATCTCAAAAGCCCTGCAGAGCCAGGGTCCCCAGTCCCAGTCTACTGCCCCACCTCACTGGGTCCCTCTAAATCACCCCAGGAAGTGACAGGCAGTGGCAGTCACAGCTCGTGACTCCATCACATTTTTAAGAATTCCTCCTGAAAATGAAAACATGACCACACAAAATTTATGGGACGCAGCAAAAGCAGTGCTAAGAGGGAAGTTTACAGTAATACAGGCCTTCCTCAAAAAAGAAGAACAATCTCAAATAAACAATCTAACCTATCAGCTAAAAGAATTAGAAAAAGAAGAGCAAAAAACCCCAAAAGTCAGCAGAAGGAAGGAAATAATAAAGATCAGGGAGGAAATAAATGAAACAGAAATTAAAAAAAAAATAGAAAAAAATCAATCAAATTAAAAGCTGTTTTTTTGAAAGAGTAAATAAAATCGACAAACCTCTGGCCAAACTCACAAAGAACAAAAAAGAGGGAGCACAAATAAGCAAAATAAGAAAGGAACATGGAGAAATTACAACAAATAAAATAGAAATACAGAATATCATACAAGAATATTATGAAA